TATTATCTTAAATACGGCCCTGCCTATCACCGAAGAAATGCCGCCTCTTACATAATGCCACCCCAAGCATATAGGCCTGTGTTGCCTGTGCCTTTCGCAAGCCTGCGTATTTAATACAGTTTTTCCAAATTTTATTCTTTGCAAAATTTTTGTTGAATATCCTTTAAAAAGTTTAATAGTTATAAATATAAAGGAGGATAACTATTCCATCAAATTCTAAATTGATTTATCTACGTTTCATATAATAATACGAGTACCTATATAATAAACGAAAATGTATTTTCATTACTGTATCAAAAAAGAATTTTTAAGGTACGTTTATAAGTGGGTTTCATACAATATAATACATCTTCCACATTATACAATAAACTRACCTCTAAAATGTTAAAGTTGAACATTAAACTATAATATATAACAATATATGTGAAATATTGCTTAAGACTAAAATKTAAACAATAATCGTTCAAGATAAAATAAACGAAAACCTACAAAAAAAAATATTTTAAAATATTGATGACAAAATAAATAAATAAAATTCATTGGACAACTATAATAGATGTATAATTATTTGTATCCATATAACTATGTTGAAAAGTGCAGTATACCTACACTAAATTTTAATATTCAAGTTTTAACTTTCAACTAACAATATTATTATGTATTGTGAGTCGTGACAGAATGTTAATATTGAATATTWGTGTTAATTTTCAAAACTAACGAAGATTTATTTATATTTAAAAAACTAAATTCATAAATCACAATTCTATCTTAATTTAATAGTATRTTCAAATTTTAAAAATAATATTAAGAAAGAAATTATAATTTGTTTATCTGAGTAAATGTTTAAACAGTTTAAGTCTAATGTTGTAGTTGTATGAAATAAATAAATTGTTATACAGTTTTAAAWTGACCCTTTTCTTTCCAGCACATTAATTCTCATATATTCTTCGTGGTTGTATTCTATATTTATTATATATTGAGTATTTTTTTWATTTTTTTTAATGGTGTTTTGAGTACCTATTTTTTGGTACTTATGTAAACTTGTTCTCAAAYTTTAATAACGTTATATATAGGTACTTACTTGTTCAAGTGATAACAGTCATTTAAAAAGCTTGAATTATTTATTATAATATTATTGCTGTATAGTAAAATATAGTAGCACTAAGCAGAATCGGATAAACAAAAAATAAAATATATTCCTTTATCGTTACGTTATATGATTTTCTACAACATTTATATTAAAATATGTAAAGGTATGTCATACATGACATAACAAAGCATTATTAAAGGATAAAAGGGAGGTTATAATGCTTGGCGAATCACCGCTTACATACAATGATATACGAGGATTGAATTTAACATAATTAAACGTTAATTTAATATTAATAATAATCTATACGATGATTGTAAAATAATGCTGTTAATCAATTTTAAATTTTAACGCAATCAAAAACGACATTATACTTATACATATTTTTCGCATAATTAACATACGAGAATACAATMTGATACACGGTTTTGCAAAAATAACTTGAGTTTAAGTACATTTGTACAACTGGGTTATTCTGTTTTTGATATAATGATTAATGAGAGCTAGAATAAATGAGAATATTAATTGGTACTTAGTATAATACATTTCGTAWYTATTTTTTCRCTATTTAACTATAAATTTKCGAGTTGAAAAATTAAATATATCACAAATTTATCAAAAAATTCAGAATTTAATATGTTCATAAAAATAAAAGTGTAACTTAATGTATAGCGTTCAATGTTCAATGCAAAAATTAAATATTTTTAAGAATTTGTCAAGATATGGCTAGACTTCAGAGTWTATGGAAGCTATGACTATAGGTAAAGTTAATTGACACTATTGTAAAGATCAAAGAAAATATGTCAGAAACATAGCAGTATCATTATTGTTTTACCCATTTAATCTTAAACGCAACGAATTAAACATATTATATTGGTATACTTATTGTTTAAGAATGAAAAATAAAAAAAAATATTTAATATATTTTTTAATAATTTATAATCAATGTTCTAATTGTATAACCTACGTTCAATAAAAATAATAATGAATTTTTTGAAATTTATTGAAACATTATGTTATTTACTATTAAACGTAACTGTATTATAATTTTAACCACAATTATGTATATTAGTTGCAACATTTTTAATTCGTCACCCATCACACAGTAAATTATTTGTAACAAATATATAATATGGTTAAGGTACAAGTCATATCTTATATATCAGTAATATTATTATTATGTTTTAATAAGTATTTTAGATAGTCGTGTTTTACGATACCTATGAAAATTTAGTTTGTTTTATTGTATGATATATAATAATATATAATATAGAATCGGCAAATAGACGAACAAACACCACAAAACGTAAGCACTCAACCAACCACGGTAGCAAAACATCACAGTAATAATGTAGTGAACAACACCACTCCGAAACCCTCAAGCAACGAAAAACCAACGGATATCCAAGTACATCCACAACCCGCTCAGCCCGCCGATAGAAACTTAGTGCACGTTACTAAAGCACAGATGAAAGGTGACACACGCTATATAGAACAAAACAATTGCAATTAAAATTATATGGTTTGAAGACGAATACTCGAAAAATAGTACACGAAACGAATATTGTTCTTACTTATTAATCGTATATAAATTTAAATAATAACTATATGTGCTTTATATATCATATGTATATAAATAGCACAAGCCAATTTTCATAATATAAACTCACCTAATTTAATCGTTCAGTCAATATTCAAGACTTATGATTGTAGATACCTATAAAGAAATAACAAACTCAATTTCAAATTAATCTTTGATATGTTTCAAGTTAATCCTTGATATGTCAGTAAACCATTTAAAAATTAAAATAATAGCAAGATTAAACCTTAATTTATGGGTAATTTAACTAATAACTAATTAGAAAAAACATATTTCGTGGTAAACATAGATAGATAATCCTTCCGAAGTCACGCATATCTGAATAAATGGACAATAATAGGTATATTGTTAATCGTTATGTAGGTACTTACTTTTTAATGGAATATTTTGCTGTCAAGACTAACTATTCATTTTTAAATTTTAAATTACAGAATCTAAAATATCGAGTGATTAAAATAAATATTCTTTTTGTACATTTTTCGAGTGTTTTATTTTTAGCAATCTAACAAATGATATTAATATTCAACATAAACAATTAGAGACTAATGGGTTCACCATTTTCGTTATAGAATTTCAAGAAGCGTTTAGATTATTTGATAAAGACGGTGACGGCAGTATCACTAAAGAGGAATTGGGTCGAGTTATGAGGAGTCTTGGGCAGTTCGCTAGAGAAGAAGAATTGGAGACCATGTTACAAGAAGTCGACATTGATGGTATATATTATGAATTAATTTTATAAGGGTATATCTTAGAAAAAAATATGTGCCAAACTTTTTGAACAATCAAATCAAACTGAATTTGAATAACACCACGCTAGGCATGATCTTTAACTCTGTAGGATTATATGATTAATTATAATGTTGTAATATATCAACATAATATAATATTACATGTTTTATGTTTACATTATAAATTATAGGTACATTCAACATAGACTCGATAATCTTGAGCAGAATAGAATAAATGTTAATTTTATATATTAATATCACGTTATCCATTAATTTTTGGTATAAATTTATATGATTTCTGGCAATTATTTAAACTATAATGTAATAATTTAATTTTAAACGTGTGACGTTCGTGTTAGATATACCTAAAATGTTTCCAATTCTTATAGTCTTTAACAAAAACCATTATTAAGCGGTAAAAAAATATAATCAAACGTTTAATGAAATGGATCAATGTTCTACTATGTCTTAATATAGGCGATGGAGCGTTCAGTTTTCAAGAGTTTGTAGAAATCGTGTACAATATGGGTGGTACAGCAGAAAAGACAGCGGACCAAGAAGAAAAAGAACTCCGAGACGCATTTAGGGTACGTTAAAATATCATACATTATTATTGTTTAGTTTATTGAGTTTATTAAAACAGCAAACTACTGTGAATTTCCATTGATTGAATTATACTATTGCATTGAACATATAAAATATAGTTTTTCACTTCTAGATATTATACGAACATAATAAATAATATTTTTTTTTAGTTTTGAACTAGGTATGCCTATTTTAAACCTTTTTACATATCATATTTATTTATTACCAACATATTATGTATAATGTATATACTGCTTTAACAAAATGTATACTGAGCTTAACTACCTATATAGTATCTTTATTGTGCTTTAATTTAATTTAATTTGTACTCTACTATTGCATAAATGTTGAGCCGTATTAGTTGTCACTAAAAGCTATTAAATATATATATATATATATATATATATTATTAATATTCGTGATTTGATCTTCGTGTTTCCTCATACAATCGTATTATGTAATGGTATTCATTTAAGTATGGAGGAAAATAAAACCATACAATGTATGTATGTCATGTCTACTAAACTTTTATATTCAATTTGAAAAGCCTTTAAAAAATTAGTAGGGATATAAAAGATAAACTGTTCGTTACACTTACAGCATTTGTGTATGTATAACGATCAACGTTTCCTATGCACTATACATTATGACAAAAGGTAGGTATAAATATATATATATAATGGTTTTATAGCCATTAGCCTATATACATATATAGGAGTATAAAATAATAATACAATATATAACACTATTTTATTTATGAGGTCTTTGGTTTAACGTCCCAAGGGTAAATAAATGYATACATTAAAGTTCACAACAATACAACTTTTGGCTTTTGACTTGGAATAGGTCATATAAAATATTCAGCACACTCTAAACCACTACTGCGATAACTACACGTCTGCCACAACTGAAACGAATATATTTAATGCCTATACCTACATCATGAACTGCTGAGATAGAATTATTAATCCGCAGAACAATAATATATCTCGAAGAAATAATATAATATGTTCGTCAAGACGTCAACTATAACCAGCTTTAGGTACCTATAATAATTAATTTATGTGATTGAAAAGTTGTTCATAATATTCATACTACATTACGTGACTATATGTGCATAACATAATTCGTATTATCCACAGACTGCAAAAATAATCCGTTTATTATTTTGCTAATAATCACTGTATGAAATACAAAACTATTGTAATAAAATATGACACTTTAATATTCGATTACCGTAACCCTGTCTGAGTAATTATATTTACGCTATTCCAAAGTAGATATTTGAATAATTATTATTATTAACSTTGTGTACCTAGTACCTACCTACATATTATGTAGGTGGTATAGAATTAACAAAACTAATTGTTTTATGCCCTTTGTTTATTGTTAATTTTTAATAATTAGAAATGAATGCAAATCTCAAAATATAAAAACGTGTAGCACAATATTTAGTTAATAGTATAAAAAAAACCACATAATCGTGAAAAGAATTTCAATTCTGTTTTACATTATCTAGTTAGCTCGGTTAGGTTAGGTTAAACTATATAGGTAGTTAGATTGCATCGGTGAAAATAATAKAAATGAAATAATTATATCAAATGCGTAGATATTTAAAATCCGTTTTATGACTAAATTTATGTTAAAATTACAAAATCAAACATTGAACCCTTGACCCTTCAACATTTCACATTTTATAGGTAAAATTAGTTGTATTCGTAAGCCATGTTGTAAAGAGTAAATGGTGTGCATATTTTAGGCAATAATTAAATAAAAGTAAAATTAAATTGTTTTATTATGAAAATTCTTATTAACTCTATGGATACGTTAGTAGGTACGTCACGCAAATGGTATTTTATACAATCTTAAAGTACGTTTTAGTTTACCCAACTTTGTGTAAACATTTTATTCTAATCAGAAATTCATTTTTTCAGCGTTCACTTTATTAAGCRTTTATAATGTTTATTATATAATACAAAATATATAGGTAGGTACAAAAAGTTTTGTTATTTACATGTCAAACACCTTCAAACGCTTTATAAAGTATGACATTAAGGTTTACATAAATTTATATAACTATTAAGTACTTATATGTATATAATACATTATATTATTAACAAACAGTGAATTCAAACTTTTAAAATACATAACGGGTTTAAAATAAAAGTGAATAAAGATTTTTATATGTCTGTTAAAAAACAATTTAAAATTTAACGATTTTTTTTTAAATATGTGTTGGAAAGTTTTCTTTCGTCCCAGCTATATGAGAAAAATAACAGAAAAATATTCATTAATAAGCTTGCCGTCTGTTTAAGTTTTTTTCAAATTAGAAATATTATGATTAATTCAAAAATCTAAAATAAGTTTATATAATGGCCAGTATTTTATTTCTACACCAAACATTTACATATTTTAGTTACCTATAAGAATGGTGAAATAGGAAAATGAAATTTTTTAAATAGTGAAAATTAAAATCATAACTTATTATTTTTAATAAGTTTTTATTTTATTATTATTTTATTGGGCTATTAACATAATATTATATATGTTTAGAAGGATAAATCGTGTTATTCTTAATTGTTTTTTTTATACATAAAATATTGTGGTGGCTTGCAGATTTGAAATGTCAAGGGTATAATCACAAATCAAAGGTGAACTAAAAAGCTTGATAATTCAGTGTTATTAGTTGTTCTTACAGAAATTAAAAAATAGGTATGGAAAAAATGTAGGTGGTATTTTTTAAATGTAAATGTCGTCAAATTCCGAAAACTGAAAACTATTCTTTAGTTTTAACTGCATACATTTTTATACCATAGAGTCTAAAATTGAATTTATAGTTCCTTGTAAATTGTACTCACTAGAAACAGTAGAAACGATTTTTAATTAAAATTATTTATATTTTATACTACGAACCAATTCTCACCGTTCTTCGCTGATATATTAGTATTGACTTATATGCTAATTATAATGCTATGTTCTTACAACAATTAGTTCAACCTGCCAGCACCCTACCTTGTAACTAAAAGAAAATACATTTTTTTTTAGAGGGAAACCCACGGCAACAAACCATTAGGCAAGAGGTGGTACGGGTAGAGGGTTATTTTTGTATATTTTTGTTAGTAGGATTTTTTAGTTGGTTGGGTTGTAACACACCTGGTATGTGATATGTGTGACAATATGTTGCTAAAAATCTCGGGTGGTCACCCATCCGGGAGCTAGCAACTGCGGCCGATACTTACGCTCAGTGCGTTTTCGCAGATAAGCGTACGACCGCGTCTCACCAGGCCACTAATAAATATTCTTGGAAATAGATGCATACATATCGTATCCGTACAAAATCGTTTTTCATATCTAAGCTGGCAACTGGTAAATAAATATACCTAAAATATAGCCATAAGTTAAATTATTGAATTAAAATTTGCCCCATTCATTACAGCARGTACCTATAAGTCAATGACGAGATGAACTCGAAATAAATTATGCAGCAGATCGACTACCTCACGGTTTTTATTTATTATTTTTATACCTAGAAAAATAATGCTATAATAAGAGATAAACTGATAACCTATTCATCATTAGTGTTACGCCAGAACTAGCGATTCAAAGTTCGTTAACAATACAAATATATATGTATATGTATAAAAATGAACTATTTCTATAAATACTATTCAAAGTTCATAAATTAAAAGTATTTTTGAAAATCTGTGATTGCATGTTAGGAAATCAATTATTTATATAAATTTCCTATTATAGGTGCTAAATGAAACGTATGATMAACAATTTTTTTTCATTATTTAATCCTAYYTAAATTGTAGGAACATCGTACATAATCATAATATTCTATTGTCATATTGACGTGATATTGTGTTGTAATATATATATATTATTTGTTACTTATAGTACTTCGAAACATATTGCACAGTGGTAGTGCGATATGCTACATAAGTATACTATAATTTATAATTATTCAAAGTAGTGCACTACCTATTAGCTATTCATTTAATGTAAGACATAAGTATATATGTATATACTCCACCGTACGTCTGTATTGTGTAATGCGTAGATCAGTATTTTGAATATTATTTTGATAGACATGAGAGCCATGAGACATGCTATAACATAAGACTGTTAATTATTTTTAATACTATTAGTACATAAAAAAAAAATTTCAGTAGATATCTATGTTTAAGGGAATCGGTAGCGGATAATTTTGAAGGAGTTCGAATTAAGGAATTTTCAAATTGCTTGTTTGCGGCAATTKTAAATGTTTGCGTAGCAAGTGATCATTATTAGTGTATATAATGAGTGTGTTAGACGTTAATGTGTATACGAGAAATACCATAGCGCTCCCACATATACATGTACAACTCACCAATTCGGCGTTGCACGCGTGAACGGTACCTAAATGATTTATGCTCAATTGTGTGCTCTTTTTGTGCATCATATTAATCGACCTAATAATGCAATTATATTTTAGAAAACTTATCCGAGTTCCTTGTATTTACTTGAGATCGGACAGTCCACAATTTGAGATTTCTGATTTTAATCCCGAAAAATCAACGTTTGCAAATTCAGAAATTTCAAAATATTCAAACCAAATTTATATTTATAGGGGGTGAAATTGGGAAAAACGGACTGATCGATCTCATGTAGACACGATACAAAATCCAAATCAGTTTTAAAAAGTATCGCCCCATTACTAGGTCAATCAGTATAATATTCAAAATATTGGTATTTTTTGGCTAAAATAACTGTCCACCAACGATCCCCTTAATACAATTTTGTCAAGTTGATAAATCAAATCCTATACTAGCATTAAACATTTATAATTTAAATAAACCCTCGTCTATCCAAAAAAAACTGTAATTTAATATTTAATTATTCGTGAAATATTGAAAATATTATACTTAAATTAATTGCCACRCCCTAATCCAATCTTTTCTTCATATTTCATCTGATCATCTCTGCGGCTTCGTGTCGCGATAGTGCAGACCTAGTGTTCAACAAACTTCTTAACGGTAACCTCAATATTCTTGATTTATTATTAGTTATTAGTTTATTACCTTATTAGTATCTGTCTCTTTCCCAATCTTATTTTAAAATCCACTAACTCGTTAGTCGTTACTCTACAAAATGTTATACCGGATTAACCAAACTTAGTCTCATATTACTCCACTTGTCTGTACTTCTGTAGCTTGTTAAATTTTACTGATTTACTTAAAAGTTATAATATAATTTTATTGTTTGATTAAGAAATCAATGCCCCTCGGGATGTCTAATTATYAAATAAATAAATAATATTTACCTTTACTTTTATTATTATTTTGTAGGGTAACGTATGTTTAACCTTAAACGTTTATGTAATATAAATATATAATACTGACACACCACATACGACATAATACTTATTGTAATACAAATCGGTATCTAGTAGTAGTACAATGTCCAATAATACATATTGTGTAGGTAACTTAGTGTTGCAGTAGCAACCAATACCTACCTACTCAATAGTAGGCATATAGACACGAGAAGATTATTTTACTTTTCTTACATGAAAATTCAGTTGTATAATATACAGTCAATACGTATGTTGATTGTCTCCCCCCCCAAAAAAAAAAAATCATAAAAAATACATACTGGATCGAATTAATGTGGTTTCAGGTATTTGACAAACACAACAGAGGATATATAAGTGCGTCAGACTTGAGAGCTGTCCTTCAATGTTTGGGTGAAGATTTGTCAGAAGAAGAAAGTAAGTTTATGAAACGTTGAAAAAAAGTAGCATTTTCTTGTTAAAAATATTACGGGATTTGTAAAAATAATTTTTTCTCTTGCTGTATCTAATCTATAGTCGAGGATATGATCAAGGAAGTAGACGTAGACGGAGATGGAAGAATTGATTTTTACGGTAAGTACCTACCGTAAACGTAGAATATGTCAATTATTTTGTTGGCTTTCTAAATAATCATAATGATATAACACAATAAAAACGAATTCTCACAATCGCGCCACTTTTTCATACATATGATTGGTAGATATAGCATGAGTATATGACATTATGACTAGGTATATCGTGTAGGTACCTGCTATATATAGTATATAGATAAGGTACCTATAACAGAAAGACCAGACACATTTTTTTATTTATTATAAATATATAAATTACTGACTCGAGTGCTACAAGTAAATATTATGATATTATATAAAATTTTTATTTTTTAGTAATGCAAATTATAATAGTTAGCTAATTTGTAAATCTGTACTTTAGAAAACATTTATCTAAAATTAATAAGTGGTTTATTTTTTATGATATTTTAAAACGTCAATATTTTTGAAAAAACTTTCATTCATTTGAAAAGTCATAACTTTAAAAATAATTATTAAGATTTTAACAACTATTTAAAATAAATATATTATATGTGTAACAYTGTAGGTAACACAAGCGTCTGTTAATAATATTAAATTGAAATTAAATTAAAAAAACTTTGATTAGAACAAGTTTTTTTCATTTGTTAACTCTGTTTAATGTATTAGTTATGTTCATAGATTATAGGTAGGTACCTAGTACCTACTACATATAACTACTATAATTATTATAATACCTACTATTAGTCTGTGCTTTAATCTAGTGTTAATAATTATCTGATTGGTATAGACCTATGTTTATTCGTTTAGGTATTGATCTCTTCCAGGATCTAAGTAATGAATTTTTTAACATCATTGTTCGTCATTTATCAATATTTTGTCATTTTGTGCTTGAATATTATATTATATGGTGAAACTCATGCATTAAACTACATTTACGACTATTGGCTGTATTTTAAATTAAAGTAATATTTGTATGCAAATATAATAAGATAGGTAGACACATAGGTCTTAAAGTTTATACTGGTATTATATATATTGTGTTCAGGATTCAAGATTTTAAAGCCCATTTATAATACTAATAATTTATTTTTGCCATTGGTTTATTGTGTTTCTTATACATACCATTTGGAATTTTGATCATTTCCTATTTCGTTCTTAAATGCAACAGCGAGAGTGATACATTTACAGTATCTTAAATATAAAATATTCATTGTTTTTATACTTTTTCAGTTTTTAACTTTATGATAGAGATTAAGCTTAATTGTATAGTTGTTTGTTTTATCAATGATTTATTTATTTTATGTTTAATTGAATAGTATTTTATAAGTATAAGTAATATATAACTGTAGATAAGTAATGTAGATCAGTAGTTTGAGTTCTAGGATTAATGCATATTTTAATACAAAAATACACTTTCTAACTTAAGTTCTGACTTCATATACATACAAAAAATGTGGTAAATAGGTACAATTATTTTTATTCAATATGGATTCAAATACTTTTAATGCCAAATCATATCAATAAAAATATTAGAAGTAACCCATCAATAAATGTTAATATTTAAAATTTGGTTTTAATTTTGTGTGCCATCTCAACCATAATATCATTTATATATAAAAAAAATTCTGTAATAGATAAACAAGTTGTTGTTAATAATTGTATGTACTTATCACTTATAGGGGGCTACATAAGGAATTCAGGAAGATATTATGAGCCTTTAAAAGGCGACGTACAGTAGAATCTCAGCAATTCAAAACATAGCAGACCTTCCTAATGCCGAAATACTGAGATTCTACTGTATATAATAATTTACTTTACTAAACAGAACAAAGTTAAGGTAAAATCAAAAATTAACTAAAAACCTCTGAACTCAACATAAAAAAAAAAAATATTTTTTTTGCGGGCCATTCACTTGCCTGCATCATTGGCACTGAATGTAAAATCTGACAAGAGGAGAATTAATGTAAAACTTTATACAATTTGCTCTAATTCGATGAATAAATACATTTTAGAAATTTAGAAACCATAAAGTTTATTTTAAGGAAAGATATCAGCTTATACTTCATATTTAAAAAAACTTCTTTAATATCTAAATTCAAGTATATACAATAAATAAGTTTTTAATATYATAATCAATTCAATTCGCAAAATTAGAATGTTGAAAAAATATGTATAAAATTATTTAAATCCATTAGTAATAATTCTTAATTTTCAAAAATCTTTATTGTGTTTTTAGAATTTGTAAATGCCCTTGGAGAACCAGGTGATGATTATGATGAAAACGATGAAGACGAAGAAGATATTTATCCTCAAATGGATATTCAAACTTAACTTTTAAACAATATGTTTTAGTATAATAAATCCAGTTAAAAATTGAATTGTCAAAATTGATAAATATAGCACACATTTAATATTACGAACAATATTTTTTGTAAACTTGTTAAAATGTTAAGAACTTACCCATTTTGTAATTTCTATCAGGAATAAACACACCAACTGTTTTTATTTTGCCAACTAATGATCTCTAATAAGTAAATCATACTCTAATATAATATAATTGTACTGCTGTAGTATTTGTTAAGTAATTTATGTCATTTCCAATGTCTAATGTATAAATTAATCATTCAATGGTACAATCAATAATTAAATTTAAGACCCAATAATTTATTAAAAACATATATCATTAAACTTACTTTGTGTATAAATTTTAGTCAAAAAAAAATTCAGTTATATGTTATAAGTTATTATAACTATTTATTTAAGAAACTATAAAATATTTTTGTTTATTATTATAGTGTGTGTATCTATTTACTTCCATTGAAAGGTATTTATAAATAGAAAATATTAAGGTAACTTAATTAAAACAATAATTATAAACAAGTTTTTTTACTTTAAAAAAATTACATCATTATATTGTCAGTATTTTTTCAAATACAATTAATTCATATTTGTGAAATTTTCCATTCCTCCTTTATGCTTTGTGAACTAAAATTAAATACATTAAGAACCAGATTACATTTAAAGGAAATAGTCGGCTGCGTGTTTTTTTGTTGGCATTCCTCGGTTTTCTTGTGGTGCTGCCTCAAATATTGTAAAATCTCTTTGGAGTGTTTCACTAAGTTCCAGTATTGCCGCAACGTTGCCACATCTAATAGTATTAACGATTAAATAACAGCATTAATAAATAAATAATGTATACATTTTTAGAGTAATATTTACCTATAGCAATAGTTGGGTGCTGACCAAACAGTAAGTACAGTTTCATCAAAATGCCATTTATATCCTTCCATGACTAGTTGATGAGCTCGACAAATAATATCTATATCATTTGTAGTATTAAACTGGGAGACAACATCTGAACCAAATAGGTATCCAGCACCTCGAGGGCTCACACCCCATCCCTGAGTATCTGAAATAATTGTGTATGTTTAAAATTGATTTCTTTTATTGACAACTGTTGATTATTAAAAATTAGAAATACTCACTTTCAGGATCAGACCATAATAAATCACACATAGGTCCATCATGGGGAACTTCTTGTTTTCTATCAATAGTTCTAATTTGATCCAATGTTTGAATTGAAGGTGACAATCCACCGTGCACACAGAATATCTAATTATGATAAAAAATTACTATAAATACTGATTCAAAAAATGAACAAATCAACATACTTTTCCATCAATAATAGCAGATAAGCTCAGGTAATCAAAAATTTCAGTACAATAACGCCATACAGCAACACTATTGTATTTTCGTAGACATTCATCATAAAAACCATAAACTTGAGTTATTTGTCGTGATTCGTGGTTACCACGTATTAAGGTTATTCGATCGGGATATCTTACCTGCAAAAAAATGGCATTACAATATTGTATAAAACTTGAATATATTTCACTTGATAAATTTAAGTAGTAAAGAAAGAATTTGATTGTTAAGTGACAGTAATTATACTTTTATTTAAATTATTTTTTTTAATTATTGACTTACTTTAAGTATCTTTTTACTCCAAATAACTTATGAAATAATATACCTTAAGTGTTAATAAAATAAACATAACTAAATTAAATTTAAATAAAAGAATGAATATCAAGTGATAAATAAATCTTTAAACATATACATTTGTTAAGATCAGTGGCGTAACTATGGGGTAGCGGTCGTGACCCGAAACATTTTTATGGGGTCGCAAGAGTATCATTTTGCTACCACAAAATTATTTATTAATTTAATAAAAAAATCCGCGTCAGTGTGCATTTACTATTTATTTATTTTTAAAAAGTTATCAAGAAAAAAATACGTTATTTGTGAATTTTCATGTTATAAAACTGTAAGTATAATGATTATTTTAAGATAATTTAGGAGGAAGTTATGCGTATAAGTGGTACTCACCCATTATGCTTATTGGAGAAAGTGAAGCATTTAAAAGTGTTCGCTACCCCAAACATTTGCTGCTAGTTACGCCACTGGTTAAGATTGTAATTACTGAAAAGGCTCTCACACTATCAAGTGTTATTTCTATCTTACAAATATACAATAAACCAAATTTGTGTTCAAAAGAATCAATTTTTTGCTGTGCATTTTAATATAAAAGTAAATTGATCTATTATAAAATTAAAATGTGTCAATATTTATTAGGGTAGTGGTTTTCAACCTTATTAAACTGAGAAACCTATTTTAATTTTCAAGCAATAGTTTTTAAAAACTATACTGTTTGATAAAAAATCTATGTTTTTAATAATATGTAACATAAAGGGTACATTTTTGATTAATTTGTATTATCGATTATTATTAATATGTTCGTTGTATTTGCATTACACAGTTTAATTTAATAAAGTAAATTTTTGTTACTTATAATAATACCTAAATTGAGAGTATCAATTTTGAAGTTCATATACTCCAAGTTTTGTCATTCTGATCTACAGCATCTTAGAGTGTTGATTGAAATTCAAAATTTAAACTAGTTATAATAATATAAATATTTTTATAGATATAAAATACTGTAATAATAAAATGTTAATAAAATCCTACAAGATGCACCTATACATGTTTTATATTTGATGATTGACTTTCTTTTAGATTCACTATAATATTGAAACTAAAATCACTAAAACATTTTGCTAAACAATAATTTAACACATACATTTGTAAGGGGACAATTTGTTCTAATGCTGCGTTTTCTTTTACATTTGATAAATAACTTTTTGAAATTTGTAATATATCTGTTAATTACTACAGAAATTTAAATGTTTTAGGTTAAAATCTGTTACAAAAATTTCAACTAATAATACAATAACAACATTTTCATATGGTCCAGATACACTATCACTCAAATGTATACATTTTTTTTTTTTTTATAGATGATGTATCATGTAAATCCTACATTTAAAAAATCAATATCTTTTTAATAAAAATTACAAAATAGTAAGATCAAATAAATAGTTTGTCACCTATTATAAAGACATGTATGCTGTGTCACCTCGTGTGTCACTTATACTCTTTTGAAATTGATACAACCAATAATGTGCTAAATCTTATCATAATAATTAATCATAAATACAAGAAAAATTTATATATACTTTTAAAGCAAGTAGGAGTAAAAATGTCTCAACACTAAAGAATCCTCGATCGACAAAATCACCCATGAATAAATAATTTCTTTCAGGAACATCTCCTCCGACTTTAAACAATTCTTTTAAGTCATAGAACTGCCCATGGATATCACCACATACCTGCAACATTATTATATATAAATATATATATTTTTGTGACACCTAAAATTGCAAATTTGGATTAAGCTTAGATCTACCAAATATCATTAAGTTAAAATTAGTGTTGTGAAAAAGAAAAATGGATGGTGACAATTAATTTATTTAAAATTCTAAGATCTAAAATAACTTGAAACGTGATACCATTCATATGGAGGTAACCAAATAAGAAGTGGTTCGCATTAAAACAGAGATAAATTCATATAATTCTAAAACCATAACTGTACAATTTAGTAAAAATATGAATATAATCATTTGATTAATAAATGTGTACATTTATGTATTCAAGCATCACCTGTAAAATTGTACTTACAGTGACAGGAGAGTCAACACGCTGTACATTGCTCTCTTCGATGAGTATTTCACGAGCTTTGGCGCACAACGCTTTCACTTCATGCTCTTGGATGATTTCACAGCGCTTGAGTTGTTCAATCTGTCGATCCAAGTCACTGTTGGAATCGTACATCTTGGACATTTGGGACAAAGGCACGGGGAATGATTGCTGTCAATAGTTCAGACTACATACACACCTGCAGCTGAGACCGTAATTATGAGCGCTCTCAGTCGGAGCCCTGTCGGACACGGATCGCTGATAAGATTCTAACCCACGAATTAGGTACCTATCCSAACGGCTCCTGCGGGACGCGATTCCTGTCCGGTGGCGGGGCCGACTGACGCGGTCTAACGGCTCAGTTGACAGTGATGTTGCAGGTCATTGTTATAACAAACTGATTTAAAAGAAAGTATGACAAATTACGAATTACGGATGTTGAACACGGATGGAGTCGTATCGAAGATGAGAAACCAAAAAAAGCTTTAAAAGCCAAAAGCGGATGGCAGACCGCAACCCGAAACTGCGAAAAAACCAAAAAAAGGTATGTGAAATTATCGGATGTCGGGATGTTTAGTGTTTACACATTACACGCCGATTGCGGCAACTAACCGCGACGGATTATGCGCATGCGCCAACTATGCACCAGTTTTGCCACAACGGTTGTTACAAAATATCCCATGTTTTACAACAAGCGTTCACGCCAAATTTACCGCGCCAATGATTGGCTGGAAACTAAAAACCGGTTTTATTCGATTTTTTCAAATTGTATTAATTATGGTCTAATTCTATGCCCTATGGGTATTAATTAAGTCTTATATAGTCGACGTGTCGGTTTGGATCATGAATGGGGGCCCCTGGTTAACTAATTTCGATTTCGAATAGGCCTCCTACAAACAGTACAAACTTAATTTTAACTTAAACAAAAAAAAATTTAATTGTCATAGTGTCATTTAATAAAATATTAAAACTATTTTAWACATAATTAAAAAAATTAGGTCGTTTTTTCAACTCTTTGTCAATATAATATTATAAATATAAAAATGTAAACCAACATTGTTACTGAACAATTTTACAAATACAATCAAAAATTTGAATTAAAAATTAACATTAAATTATTAAAAAAGTAATTTTTTTAATTCATTGCATGACGATCCTAACATATCAATAACTTTATCTTTGTTTATACTTTGAATGATATCATCTTCAACAAATAGACCAGTTAAAGGATCCAAATATTGCTGGCTTAATGAAGATTTATGTTTGGTTTTTAAAATTTTTTGTTTTGAAAACACTCGTTCACACTTAACTTGTGCGCATGGAAGTATAAGAACATATTTTAATGCTATATACAGTGTGTATTGAATAAGCCCATTTTAGTGATTAGTTTCAAAAGAATTTGAAATATTTTGGTAAACAGTTATTACAATTTTGTTCAATGCTTAMATATTTATTAGAGTTGTATTACCCAATTAGAATTTTAAAAACATGCATATTTTTTATTACGTTTACAATTGGCTATGGGCCACTATAATATAGAAAAATATCGAAGAGCTCCCGGCGATCGCCGGGTASCCGGGTGGGCCAGACCGACACTGGTCTTGTATAAAAGCTAAATTTAATATAAATTTTTTAGTATAAGGTTAGAACTGCACAAGTCTCCAAAAAAATTATAATTTCACGCGCTAATAAAATAGCAATTAAAAAATAGATTGCTTAAATTAATGTAATTATGGCATAATAAATGTGCGACCTACAAATCAGTGACGTCCCGAGGGCAGGGCAAACGGGGCACACGCCCWGGGCCTCGCGTATATACAATAATATAATATGTCGTGTAAATAAAATCTTTCTAAACATTACAGCATATAATATTGTAAGTCCAGGGACTCGAAAAATCTGGGAACGTCACTGCTACAAATACTTTGTTAGTTCAGTCTGTGACTTACAAATATCCAGTTATTATTATATGTAATTTATACTAAATATAAATGTATCCTCTTGCTTTTTAAGAATTCGATATAATTTGTTAATTTATGCCATAAAAATATAAAATCATCTTTCATATATCTGATAAAAATTCACCAAAATTCGTCGGTACATATGAATAGTAACACAATTGAAAAATCAATTTCCTAGTACAGGCTACAGCCGCGGCTTAATGAATTCTTGTTTCTTATAATTATTGCTATAATCTTGGATTTTTAAATCAAAATTTCTCTTTGGAAATTAACATAAGTGTTTACTTAGTACCTATCCTATAAATAATAAATGTGTTTAGATAATATTTAGAATAACCTTAAATTTAATTTTAATTTTAAAGCAAGTTGTGAGTATTTTAAAATTGTAAATCGTTTTTATATCTAAAAATACTCATAACTTGCTTTAAAATTAAAATATAATAAAAAGCTCATGAGATGCTCTCGGTAATAATCTTGTCTTTAATTTTTATAATAGGTCACTTCACTCTAAATTTTAAATTAACGGARATAAACGTGATCTGCTGAGCGTAAAATTTGGTATGCTACGCACTTATACGACGGAGACAACACATGCGGGTAGTATGGCGTCCTCTTAATAAATGCATACAAAAACTATAATTTCATTACAAACTAATAAAAATCAACACATAATTATTGTAAAAAAAAAAGTGGTGTCAAATTTCAATAGAACGTTCTAATTTAACTTATAACACGGTTGCAAATATTGTCTTTTTAATTATTTTCAATAAAACAGTCACATTTTGATAAGTGTCTTCTCAGTCGAAAATTAACGATATAATATTATAATGAGTATCAAAATACAATTAGATTTGTCAATTTGTGACACTCTTAATAATACAATCAGTAATTTTGCGATAAGAGAAGAACGACTCGGCAGCACTTATCCTGTGGTTGCTTTAATGTTTTTTAAATTTAATTTAATGTTAAAATAATCTTTTAAATTTCAATTTTGTACCTATAAGAAGCATTTTAGTAATATGACAATATAATAATAATATACCTATTATTTATTTTTGACAGAGCCCCTGTCTTATACAAACAATTGTTGAAGCATATTAAGAACTTATACTAATTATTATTAAAAAATAATGCATAGGAATGGTAGGTATTCTATTCACTAAAACAATATAACTAATTGGTGCATACAATTAAAACAATCCATAGGTACCTAACTGATCAATTCATTATCTATTACCTTCTCCTYTTAAATGATACATATAACATATAGGTATTGTAAAAATGAGAAGATACCAGAATATTGGTTTTATAATGATTTTTATCCTTATTATTATTTAAACCAGTGGCGGTTCTGGAATTAAAGTTTTGAGGAGGCAACAATTTTGTACCTACTCATCTAGACATATAATGCGAATTGCACAATCCTCAAAACTCATTTATTTAGTTTAAATATAATTTTTTCTTTAAAAATCGGCCAGAGAACGGTTTTATTTTCACAATTTCTCATAATTAAAACAACTACCTAGTACGTTAAAATTTGGCATTACTATTTACTGGTAGGTATATCGTATATAATGTATAACATCAAATGTACTATACATCTATGGACTATGATTCATACAAAACTGAAACACAAACCAGTGAAACCCTATAAATATGCTCGCCTTTTATTACTTATTGAATAGTGATTCTTACTGCAGTATTTTGTTGCATAGCAGCTGACACCGATTGTACCTCTCCGTTGAGTAAATTACTACAGTAAAGAGATGTGTCTCTTTCCTTATTTAGGAACACYACCAACAATGTTTTTTTATAAACATGCAGGAGTACCCATTATAAATAGGTAATATATTATCTATAGTTCTATACAATGGCCTACGTCCTACTTAGACCTAAATGTCGTTTGAGACTTTGAGAGGGTGTGGAGTTATGAGATTTGTGATTACCTACTGCTGGCTACTAATATGTTTGTGTATGGTGTAAAAYAAATTTTTATGCAGTTTTAAAGATAAGTTCAAATCAAACTGCAAAATAYAAATATTAACTAAACAAAGTATTAATGTAGGTTTACAGTAGGTTTTAAAATCTAGTTATAGTGAAAGTATACAATAATCTAATTCCATGAATCGGTCCAAAATCTAGTATGTATCTCATTATATTCATCATTCCTATCTTCTGTATTATACTTAGTTATGAACTTAAAGTTATTTTAGATTCTGAGAGCCATGAATATATTGACTTTACAATTAACCGTGTTGTTTTTTGTTTGTGTACACGATAAGTAGTAAAATAATGCTTCGATTTTCAACTTCAGTGTTTTTTTCGGTGGCCGGTGGGAAAGTGAATCTAACTCGGGTGGTCAAAATTTAAAAATACTTGTAGTTTTCAAAAAAATCACACAAAACAAAAAAAATGTTTAAGAAAAACAGAAACTTTTACTCAAAATATCAATTTTGGTTTTTGGTGAAACTCTAAAAAAGAGTCCGTAACTGAAAAATCCAAAAATATATAAACACACTTTTTATTACATAGTTATTTTAAGTTAAAATTTGGAGGAAATTACATATATAAGATAATCAAGAATAACGATTTTAGTTATATTGTTGTAATTTTAAAGTAATATTCGTGTTTCCTACTTGGAACTTTTAAAGTATATTATAATAAACAAATATGATAGTATATTAATAATGTTAATTAATCCTACCAGCTTATAGTACCTAGTGGCTAGTAACAATAGCAATATAAATATGTACCTATTAGCTATTACGGGCTAGCAAACCGTCTCCGCTCACAATCATTTTTCGAATATAATGATATTAATCATTGAGTTAAAATTTAACACCATCCATCACAATAGCCTACTTTTAGCTAACTAACTTAACCTACTGGCCCTACTGTACAGTAGAGACTGGCCCTACTGTACAGTAGAGCTTATCCACTTTTTTAAAAATGCTAATAAGTTATACATTTATAACTTAAAAGTATTAACCACTTTTATTTATTATATATAATTTAATAATTATATTAACAATTAAAGTATATTATTGGTAATTTAAAAACATTTCAATAGATATGTATACAAATAAATAAAAATATTTTATATTTTTAATAAATAAATATGATATTGAGAACTTGGTGGTGAACTATTTTTTATTAGATAATCAGTTAAAAATGTATAATATTATGACATTTAATTTATTTATAGTTTAAATGTAATAATACAATTATTGAAAGTATTAAAAATAAGTTGGGTATTAAATTATTCAATAGTTGTTGAAATTTAAAATTTTTGTTGAAATATCTCTATTTCTTTCCTTTTTTTGGCAGATGTTCAAGAACAATGGTCTGAAATGATACAATATTTATTTTAATTTATTAATCTTGAATTATTGATAAATTTGTTAAAATATTTAAGTTTACAAGTACAATAAAATTCATGAATAATTAGTTTACCTCGAATTTTTTGATTGATTCAGCCAATTTGTGTTCTACTGGACGGAGTGCAGCCTTGGCCTTGTCAACTGCGCCGCTAACTTTATCTGCGTCCAATATGTATTTGATAATATCTTCAGTTATTCTGTCTAAGTCACAAGACTTATCGTAAAATTTAGTTAATTTTTCTGCTAACACGGGGTCTTCCTTTTTGATTATATCAATACTCTTCTTCAATTGTTCTTCGCCTTCAATATCAACTTTCTTTACGTATTCATTAGTTAGGTCGAAACTTCTTTTTATCTATAAAATATAAAATATTAATATTAAACGTTTTTCTCCTATCTAACTCGCATACTTATAAATACTTAATGTGTATTATATTAGATTAGATTGTATATTAGATTGTATGCATATCATGAAATTAGCTATTTAAAAATAAAATTAATTTAAAAATATTCGTGATTAATATGTATTTTATTTTTCATTCTCGCATCTTTTTTACAAAAACATCAAACTGTATAAAGTGTACAGAATATTAAATAGATCTAATGGATTAGCGCTTATAATTTGATTATTTTTTCAAAAGATGATCACACTAATCTCAATAGGCAGAATTAACAATTTGACGATCTAAGCCTTAGATTCTAAGGTATAAAAAAAAAGCGGGTAAGTGGGTACCGCTCTGCTGTACATTAGGGGGTGGGGTGGACCTCTGACTAGGATAGGTTAAATTTGAATGCAATAATAGCCGATAGGTATCATTGTATA